GATTTCACACATAATGTACTCAGAACAGTGCTCAGCCCACAGGGGATTCTCAGTCACTGGGAGCTCTGTTAGTATGAAAGGACCAGCCAGGTGTCCCCTATACAGCCAGCATCAGAGAAGTGAGGGACCTGAGTGAACGGAGACTGAGACTTTGAGGAGAAGCTGTGTGCTCATCCTACAGGCCTTTCCCGTCTCTCCCTCCTTGCCGGCCGCTCGTCCCCTCTTCCATGGCTCCACCATGAACCTGCAGGTCCCCCTGGCTGGCTAGTCTGCCTCAAGTTTTGGCATCTAGCCCCAGGTTCCTCCCAACTAGTGTGCTTTTTCAGGACCCCTGAATGGCTGCCAGGTCTTTGTCTCTGGGGCGCACCTTCCCACCTCAGTCTTACCAACCTTTAGGGTCGTCTGACGTCACAGTATCCTCCCCAGTGTGACCCTCTCTAGCTTTTCCTCCCCCACCTTCTTCCTTCTGACTTGCTCCTCATCTCAGAGCCGGTCCCCTTGGAGATCTAATCAGTCCCTGGAGCTCTTTCCAGCACCTTCTTCCCCTGGCACCTCACAGGCGTTCTCACTCCAAGGCAGGTAAGTGAATGACTTCAACCCAGCAGCCCAAGGGACTTGACAGAAGGTTCAGGGTTGACCCAACTCAAACCTGTTCTATTGTTCTGGGCCACAAGTCAGCTGAAAAGAAAGAGATGAACAACTCGGGGCCACCTGTGTTGTCTAAACCCTAAATCATACGAGGAATCGTTCCCTTTCCATTCCAAAGAGCTCTGACTAACAAAAAGCTCAAATATTTCCATTTTCATTTCCGTGTGGTGTAAGATGAACGTCTGTAAGAAGGTGTCTTCAGCCACTAATAATTAAATGGCAAAATCAGCCTGCACTCTGGTAAGTTCTTTGGGATATGACTTCCAACGGGAGATTTCATCAAGATGATACCAAATAATAAGTAAAGGGAAATCAGAGCGGTAGAGATAAGTTATCTGCTTGTCACACGGAACAATAATTTTCTGAAAAATAAAAAATGCATTTATGGGATCCTGGAAGTTTGTGCCTACCCCTTGACAGAGGTCTTTTCTTCCCTGTTGTCATCGGGTCAATTCTGACCCATAGCAACCCCATGTGTCAGAGTAGGGTTTGTGTCACCGTGATCTTTTGGAAACATGTCACCAGGCTTTTCTTCCAAAGGAGTTCTGGATGGGTTTGAACTGACAATCTTTTGGTTAGTAGTTGAGCACGTAACTGTTCATGCCACCCAAGAACTCCCTGACAGAGGACTAGGAGATCTTTATTTTCCTTCTTTTCTTGATGGCATTTATCTGCAGTCAGTTCAGAGAGAGACTCTCCACCAATGGGACCCTCCAGTGGAAGGATGCTAAGGGAGGGATAACTCCTGCCCCATCCTGACGCTCCCTGCCCCGACCTGGCCTGAGCCCATCCCCACCCCAAGTCCAGAGCCACAACCCCTGTAGACACTCACGGGCAGGAGGAGCATGTGCCACACCAGGACGTTGGCATCTTTGCTGACGAGGTTCCGCAGGTACGGGGGAAGATCCTTCTGCAGATCTTCCAGCTCCTGAGGGGGAAACAGTGAGTGGGTGGCTGGCCTCGTCACCCCCACTTCAGCCCCTGCCCCTGCCCAGCAGCAAGCCGTCCTGTCCGAAACAGGGAACTCTGGGGGGCAGAAGCCAGCAAAGTCAAAGCCCTCGTTTATTGAGCACTTAGTATGTGTCAGGGTCTCTGAGTGGTGCAAATAGTTTGTGCTCGTCTACTAACCTAAAGGTTGGCGGTTCAAACCCAACTACCAAAGCCACAAAAGACCTGGCAATCTGCTTCTGTAAGGATTATAGCCAAAAAAAAAAAAAGACCCTATGGAGCAGCTCTACTCTATAAACATGGGGTCGCCATGAGCCAGAGTTGACTTGACAAGCAGCAGGTTTGTTCTCTGGTTTAGTGTGCGTCAGGCATGGTGGTTAAGTGCGGACAGTGAAGTACAGGACTGTAGCCTTACAACTCTGTGGGTATTAGGTGTAGGGAAGACCCAGATCACTTCTTCTAGATAAGAAAACATGGAACTAAACTCTCTTAGAAGTCTTTTTTTCTGCAACGGAGGTACTTAACCCTCTTGCTCTCTGCCCGGAGAATCACAGGCCTAATTCCTCCCTCTTCTCCTCTTCCCTTCCCTTGTTGTATCAGTAGCTGTTGTGTTCAGTGTGACAGCATGCACCAACAGTGCTCACGGCACAGTGGGTAACCAGGGCTGAGGAAGGAAAACCACTCAGGCGGACCACAGCAGATAAGAACGCTACACACCAAGCAGAGAACCAAGGGACAGGGAGGGCCTCAGCTGCCCAGAACTGTGGCCCAATCACCCAGTTACTGAGCATTTTCTATCAACCAAGACATGGCCCCGGCCTCAAGAATGTCTATGGAGTGACGAAGGACACATGAATGCAATTACAAGAATGATGAGTGAGGACACAGTAATGGAGAGGGGCAGGGAAGGGGAGCAGGAAGGCTTCACAAAGGCTGCACATGGTGAGCTGGGCCATGCAGGATAAACAGGAGGCTGCCACGCAGAGGAGGAGAGGGGCATCAAGACAGAGGGTCTCATCAGGGCGAATGTACAGTGTGTGCCATGGAAGGAGGAAAAGGGTTCCATGGGCAGGTGGACTTGGGAAACACTGGGCTATGTAAGTTTCTTGACTGCAGGACTTTTCAGAGCCTTTAATATGCTATTGGAGCCGACTCAATGGCACATAACAATAACAATATGCTACTCTGTACTGTGAATCTCCAGAGGCCAAGCCCATAGTATGTAGCCCTTTTCAGATGTATCTGACCAAGCAACCTCTCCTCCTTTGGTGATTACAGACCATGTTTTTTTTAAAAAAAAAAAAAAAAAACACCATAAAATGACATTCGAGGACAGGTCACACTCCCTTGCAACACCAAACCAAACCAAACTCGCTGCCATCAAATTGGTTCTGACTCATAGCAACCCCCATTGGGTTTCCAAGGTGGTAAATCTTTATAGAAGTCCATTGCCCAGTCTTCCTTCGGTGGAGTGGCTGGTGGGTTTGAACCGCCAATCTTCTGGTTAACAGTCCAATGCCTTAGGAGCTATGTATGCCCCCAGAGCTCCTTCTAGAGCACTAAATGGGTATCAATCACTGCTTCTCAACCAGGGGCAATTTTACCCCCAGGGAACATCTGCCAATATCTGGAGGCATTTCCGGTCGTCATAAATGATCCCACATAATCATCCCACAGAGTGTAGGACAACCTCCCACAACAAGAAATTATCCTGTCAAACGTCAACAGTGCAGAGGGGGAGACCAAGGCAGAGGGAATGGTGCCCCAAGCCAGCTCCCAGTTGAGAAAGTTTCCTTGAACATCTGAATTTTCTATCCCTTCTCCCAACATAAACATACCCTTGTTCCCCTCTGTCTCTCATCATCCCAGCAAACTGCTTCTCATGCCTGCTGCCCAGATCCTATGACACTGATCTCTTCCTCCAACCCAGAAGCATCTGCAACCACAAGCCTGGCTCCAGGACCACCTGTTATTCTTCAGCTAGAAAGAAACCCGAAGGGGGGACAGAGAAGCTCTGGGATGGACGCTTCCCCGACTTCACTATCAACAGACACATGTAGGACTTTCTCTGTTACAGGTGCGTTCTGCCAAAATCTTCTCAGGGATGTTGCAACCTAGCCTAGAACACACAGCTCTTTCTGGAAGCCTGTTAAGAAATCACCTGATTTAGAGGAATAGAAAGTGAAAGGAGAGTGGCCACTGAAAGTCTGTTTGCAGTTCCTGGGCCTGGCTCCATTCCAGCCCATCTCTTCCTTCTTGGGTGACCCTGGACAAATAAGTTATTTTACCTGACCCTCAACTTCCTCGTCTGTAAAAGGGCGGGTGCAGGGTTGTTGTGAGAATCAGATAGTTACTGATGTAAACTGCCTGACACTTCGCGATGCATGTGTGCTAAATAAAACCAGTTGCCAGCTAATGGAGTCCAACTTACGGCCACCCCGTGTGCATCAGAGTAGAACTGTACCCCAGAGGGTATTCCATGGCTGATTTTTTGGAAGTAGATCACCAGGCCTGTCTTCCAAAGTGCACTGAGGGGATGTCAACTGCCAACCTTTCTGTTAGCAGCTCAGTGTGTTGACCAATTGGCATCACCCAGGGACTCCAGGATGATAAATACTGGCTTCTATCTCTTTCCCACTGGAAAGACCCCCTGCCCCATTCTGCAGTCACCTTTCAGTAGGCTGAGACTACTCTAGTTGATTCAGTCTAAGACCGTCCTCATTTGAGAAGCTGGAGGTAGCAGGAGACTCCTTCAACCGACTCCTTCAGAGAGGAGAACTCTCTGCAGATGAGAGGGGCACTGCGGAGACTCAAAGCCTGGGGGTGTCAGACCCACCTCACTAGCATCAATCTTCATCTCTGGCTACACTCCGTTCCCCAAGCCCCTCCCCCTCCAGGATATCCCACTTCCTGGGGGAATTTCCTCCTCCCCCTTCCTTCCAGCCCCCATTTCACTTGGTGTCCCGGATTGGCTACAGGCTCAAGGAGGGCAGGGCTTGGTGTCGCTGGTTCCCCTCTGCCTGCCACCATGTAGTAGATAGTCAACATCTGCACACCAAGGAATGAAGTGCAGCCACCGCGTCCTGGCGGGGACCTTTGCCCTCTTAGTCGCCATCCCACGCTGCTCTGGGCTCTAATCAAGCGGGTATCAGCCCAGGGAACGGATCATAGGCTATTCCAGGGCGAGGCCTTTGTCCCCTGACCTCTGTGCATAGCCCACTCCCTGCCCCCAGCAGAGCGCCTGCCACCAGGACGATGACCAGGAACCCTTCCATTACATTAGACGCGTGCAATTGTTATCACAAGTTTCTGGCAGAAGTGAAACGGAAATCAGTTTGGGGGGAAGACTACGGTCGGTCGACTCACCCCACCCCCAGCATAGCTGAGGGAGCCAGCAGCACCCCACCTCGTATGCCCTCACCCCCTAAAACCCCAGTTCTGGCCCCTCTTGCAGACCCTTCTTCCTCAAGGGAGGGGGCAGAGGATGACGGAGACTCAGCCCGCCCTGGTACCCGGAAACGGCTAGGCTCCGAGGGCCCACCAAGGAAGGGATGGAGGGAAGAGGGAGCCAGGGGAGGGGTGGAGGAAGGGCGGAGTGGGAAGGGCTAGGGGGGACGGAGGGAAGGGGCGTCGCGTACGCGTCTACCTTCGCCACGCGCTTGCTCGCGGACATCTCGGGGCCGAGTGTGGCGCACCAGCGGAAGCCAGGAGGCAGGGCGCCCGGCCTCGGCGCCGCCCTGCCCCGGGACCCCACCTCCGGGAACCCCGCCCACGCTCCGCTTCACCCGCTCGATCGCTGGCCACAGCAGATGTGTTCCCCACTTCTCTTCTCCAAGACTGTGGGAGCCCCGCGGGAGGACCAGGCCCGGCCTAGGCGCGGTGGACTCGGATCCCCGGAACTTGAGCTCTTTGTGGGCGTGAAGGGGCGGTCCCTGGAACGCGCGTCCGGCTGGGGGGCGCTCTGCGCTAGGCGGTGAGCCCGCGGGGCTGGGAGCCGTTCATCCGGATGCCAGTGCCTGTTGAGGTCCGCGCGAGGAGCTCCTCTCCGTCAGCCCGCTCCTCGCCACCCCGAATACACACTTGCCCCAAATAAATGCAGTGCTTGCCATGCAAACGCTGCTCCACCACTGGTGCTCTGGCGGCCGCCACCCTAAACCCCCTCGGCCCTAAACCCCTCTTCTAGCGAATTCCCGGTGCCCCTGCACAAATCCTTCCCCTGTCTGGGCCCAGTGCCCCACGGGTTTGGGATCCTTTGTGCTGTCCTGCATTCGACGGCGGAACTGCAAGGACTTTTCTCCCAGATGGTTGTTTGGTGAGAAGCACCACGAGGGGGCGCTGTTTGGACTCTTTCTTGTTTGGGGGTTGGTCGCCTGTTCATTCGGTTCTTTACTGGGCTTAGTTAGTGTTTAATCAGTACCGACCTCACGCAGGTTTGAGAAACAGCTGGATAGGGGAAACTTCAAGACGGATTTCAGTTGCCACCCCTACAGAGGTAGTTGACTCAACCCTCCCTATGTTACCACCAACCCATTCATTACATACTGCGGGCCTCCTCCGTGCCTCCATGCACAGCCAGGCGTTTTCACCCCTCTGGGTTTGGGGCAAGGGCGGAGACCTCTTCCCCAGCTGGAAGCGGAGCCCACCGTGAACAGCAGCCCCTGAGCACCCAGCAGCATCCGATACAGAATCTCCTGGGCTTTGAGCCCTTCTCTCCTTTCAGAGCCCCCACTTGAGCTCAGATGAGGAAAGAGCTCGGCATGTTTTGAACACCGGATTCTGAGTTAGGTACCTGTTTTAGGTACCTAAATGGGAGCTCTGGTAGCATAGTGGTTAAGGCACTTGACTGCTAACCAGAAGGCTGGCGGTTCAAACCCACCAGCCACTCCTTGGAAGGACGATGGGGCAATCTACTTCCGTAGTGATACTGCCTCGGAAACCCAAGGAGGGGTTGCTATGAGTCGGTCCAACTCGAGGTCACCTAACAACAACAATG